GCTGAAGCCACAGTCTAAACTCATTTATACTTTAATTCAATGGAGCAACAATTGATTCTCCTTAATACCATCGAATACTTCAAACTCACTTAATTCACAAACAACAAAAATTCCAACGAAGAGACAATTTATCGTGCAGTACATCGGTAAATTACTCGTCATTGTTACTGATTCCTCCAAATGCAAAATGAATCAAACCTGAAGTGACTGGTTGGCACGACCCAATTCATGCATTGCCGATAGCGCGTTATCGAAACGGCGCTTGTTCTCAGCCGCTCGTTCGCGCTCAAAATCCAGATCACTTTCCGTATTCAAACATCTGAATGCAATTCAATTATTTGCCATAAAAACAAAAATCTGCCTCATTTACATTAAATATTTCAAAAAAAAATTTCCAAAGCAATGAAATAACTGAAATCGAGCAGAAAACGCTTGCTAACCTTTCCAGCAAGGCTTTCTTCTCTTCTGTCCATGCGGACGCCTTCTTTTCCAGCTCTGAAACAAAAATGCAATCAAGACAAAACACCAAATCCCATCAAATTCAAATTTCCATATCAAAATCTTCGCAAAATCCTTCTCTCTAACAATTTCAAATCTAAAAAATAGGTCATTGCAAAAATTTCCTATACAATCCCCTATAAACAGGATGAATCAACCAATTTTTCCCTAAAACGAGTAAAAAGCGGACTAAACTTTTCTCATTCTAAAACATTTCCCAACGTTTTTAGAATTCTCCGTTTCCTTCCTCTAACATCCATAAGTCTCTACTAACCTGCATATTTAGCTTCGGATTTGCTCAGGTTCTTATTCAGCGATTCGAGTTGTGCATTCAGACTCCTCAATTCCTCTTCTTTCGCCTTAACGACCACCATTTGCGCCTCCGTATCACGTCTACTCTCCGCTAATTGTTCGTNTAATTGTTCGTTGAATTCAGCGATTCTCTTTTGGAAATCCTTTTCTCGATCAACCTGAAATTGTACGCACTGAAAGATTTTGTCAACAACACCAAATAATCGCATAACAATTTGATCGCTTTTATGAGTTTCAGTAATTTCTGAAAACAGTTCATCCACCTCGCTAATTTTATAAAGAAACTCACCATCTTTGTATCAGCAACTGCAAGTTTCGCCTCAAAATCTTTCTTCAGTGCGAGTGTGCACTCCTCTTGAGATCGCTTCTCTCGTTCCAACTTCAAAAATAGAATACAAATGATAATATTGATGTTTGCAATACTAAAAATTAATGACAATTTCATAAAACACTACTATTCCAGCACGCCTCACAAGCCAAAATACTATTTCACTCTAACAAACTTTATCAAAAAAATTCATTACGTTTGATGCATTCGTTTGAGCTGTCTGCAATGCTTTCTTGAGTTTTTCGATCTCTCCGCGCAGTGTGCCCTCTTGTTCTTTTCGTTCTGAGCCGAGCTGTAAATTCAACTGTCACAAAAAATATGAACAACGGGGAAGAAGTGGCTTGAGGTCATCAACCAGAAAACATTATAACTCTTAACTTTTGCCGATAATATTCATCCATATGAAAAGTTAACCTTTAAGAGGATCCTCAGAAAGACAAGAACCTTCCGGATGAACTAATCAACCATTTTGAGGGAAAATTACTCAGTAACTTAAAGTGGACAGTACCACTAAACAACTTCATTTTTTGCCACGATTCTATTTTTCCAAAAAACCGATCGAACCTGATCAAAATTGCGTTTCTGCAATTGCAGTTGCTCTTCCAAACCAGTGCGTTCCCCCTCCAACTGCTCAACTGCTCGTCGTTTCTCTGACAAATCTTCTTCAAATAGCCTCTGAAACCGGACAAAATTACTGTCTCTCAATAACTACTGAAACTCTCAATAATTCTTTGAGGAAATCAAATTATAATAAAGCAAAAATCTCGATTAACAAAATGTTGCCGAAAACGAACCATTCTCTCAGCGAACTCATTCAGTTCGATGTCCTTTTGCTGTAAACATTCTTCCAGTGCGACAATTTTCGATTCACGTTTAGTCAGTTCCTTGAATTGCAAAACCGATAACTTTTAAAATTCTATTTGTTGTTTCTAGTTCACATCATACAATATTTCCTCAAATTCCTTCAAATGTTCAAAAAATCAATCGA